AGATTAAGACAGATTGAACACAATTATTGACTTAATAGTCCGCTCATCGAAACTTATAATTTTGTTGCTAAATATATACACTTTGTGTGTGAAAACATGAAAAAAATTATGCCTGGTCCAAAATTGTTTTTGTATTTTAAACTGTGATTCTTTATTATGCGTATCCCAATTAATATGTATTTTAATAAATAATAATTATATGTAACTGTAACTTCCTATAACTACTGATACCAGAGTTTTAAAAACAATTGGGTTGCGATGCATATTTCGAATGGTTCGTTAAGTTTATGTCTACAAATCTGGGTCCAGTCGGAGGCAACATTTACTATGTAACATGATAGCGCTGCGAAATATGTCATTCAAATAAAGCGATAGTAAACAGTAAAAATATTATATATTTTTTTATATTTATTACGGATCGTTTGATTTGAATCGTCGACGTTTTTTTTTTATTGTTAGGAGTGGGACCTAGTGACCGATATAATGATGTGAAGAATTTAAGCGTCATCACTCATCATAATGTACTTAGTATACACTATATTGTTGATTATACATATTAAATATCAATGCTTATAAATTATAATCAATCACTATACAGATTACAGTATAAATTATACTTCAATACCTTTGAAAACACTTTGAAATTCGCAATGGATTCTATGCATATTTTTAGATTCTTACTGTAGCGGTAAATGTATTTATTTTATAATAATGTGTGCTTTTTTTGGTGAGTGTTTAATGTGTACACGATTTATAGAAGAAAAATACTTTGATTTTCAACTTCAGGGTTGATAGGTCATAATTAAAATTTTCCAGTACTTTTTAAAATAATGGAAAAACCCCCCAAAAAATTAGAAAAAACGGCAATTTTTATGCAAAAGCATTTTTGACAAAACTGATTGTCTTATTTTGTTGTAACTCAAAAACGAATCGTACATACTTAAAAATTTCTATTCACGGAGTAATTTTCAAAATATTCTGACTCTTTTTGAGCTATTTATAGACATTTTACATACATTTGACATTTGAAGTTAAAATGTTTAATTAATTTGTTGTATTTCAAAATTATGTTTCGTGAAATTTTAACATAAAATTATATTATAATATTTTATATACTCAATGTCAAGTTTCTCTACATTTTTAGATTAATTATATTCTATTGCCTATTTATACCACAAACCTATTCACACCGTTATATGATAAATCGGTATTGTCTCAAAAATTAAATAAGAATAATTTAATATACCATTATAATAATTAAATATGAAAAATAAAATAAACTCAATGTTTCCGGTAAAAATTAATTAGGTATCAACCTACCATGTATTGCTAATAGTAAAATAAATTACTCTGGAAATATAAATATAGCCGTCGTTCAGAATTGTTTTTTGTATTCTATGATATAATATCATTTAACAGATACATTGTTCAATATTTCATTGACTTACTTAATGAAGAGGTTATTGGCCAATACAGTTATATTGTTTTCATTATTTATAGTTATATTGAATTAGCTTTTATCATCTTTGAGTATTGTTATTTATTATATTATGTAGAACTTTCTCACTCCTGCCCAGCGATTACTCAAACGGGCTAAGGAAAACGAAATATTAAAAAAAAACCCAACATCGTGAATTGTATTATGTTGTATAATTATTGATGTACAACGCAGTACTATTATACAACATTACAATTAAAGGTGTAATAATAAAATGGTTATCGCTATCGAACATTTCTGCGGGCCGCGTGTCGCGTTTTTCAGCGGGTGGAAAATAGGACGACCCACGTTCAGCAAACTGTGCGACGACGCCCCCGTTACGAATATTATATTATTATGATGACGAGTGACAACTGTGTGCACTAGATTATATTTTAGAAACATAATACAAGCACGCAGGATGACAGGATGGCAGGATGACGGGGCGCCTGAGAACTCGTACACGTGCACGATGATTATTTCGTTATTGGGTACAGGGCATTGGGTAATATATCTGCTGCAGAGAAGACGTTGGTTGTACCTATTTCGCGGACTCTGCAGTGTCGGCGGGTTTGCTCTGTCGTATATTTTATTTATAGCTGCGGCCTGCAATAAGAACGACGAAGGAAAGTGATGAGGATGAGTATTAATATTATAATAATAATAATAATAATAATAATAATAGAGTATATCTAAAAAATGTTTTCGGTGTCAACGCTTGTGATGAATGCTGGTGCCTGTAATCGATCGGCGGTGGCGGCGGCGCCGCATCGCTGTAACATGAATAATGATATTATTACAATATTTATTATTATCTACTATATTATGATAGAGCGTAATACTAATAACACTCGTATTGTGCGTTATTCGCTGTATTACATATTATATTGTACGATTTAATGTTATTATTTACTCGTCCGGGAGTGGCGTAGTGAAATAATATTAGTTGCCACTTCCTGTTGTAAACGATGTCATATTATATAATATAGGTATAATTCCACTGCATTATTCCAGTCCACGTTTAATATTATTATTTATTAGATATATTTTAATAATATTATGTAGGTATATTGCACCATATTGCACCACGTGTATAATTATTTGACACGTGTTGAGTGTACACATTTATAGGTGAATACTGTATACATGCGGATGGAGATAACAAATTGATGCGATGGCTTCCGAGTATAATTGTTATTTAGATTCAAACAATCGAAAACCCGCGAGTTTCTGATGAAATTAGTGTTTGAATGTAAAATGTTTGTATGTGTAGTAAATAGTAATAAATAATAATAAAAGATTATAATGTACGTGATTGACAAGAAACAAGTTTAGTTTTCGGTTTGCAGTATATACTAGTATACTACTATACTACATATAATATGCAGAGCTTGAATTGGGGTGTATCGCGGGGGTAGGAGTACCTTTTCTTTTTTAAAAATATTTTAGCTTGCCCCTTCTAATTATATCCTAATCAATAAAAAAATTTAACATTTGTATACTCATATTTTTTATATTCTTGAACCCCCCTTCTACTTTTGTTCCAATACAAACATTGACTATGTATGAATATTTTTAATGGGTATGTCTTAACATAGCTACCTCGCTGAAAAATATTCGATGAATTTTGGATACAGATTGATGTCCAAGAGATCATTCAAACTATAATTTGATTCAATTATTATAAGTAACAACGACAAAAAGTGTTACATGTAATAACAAAAACCAACCCAAATAAAGATATTTTTAATTCGAGTTTCAGTATAACATCATATTTTATACATCTTTTTCAAAAAACTATAGCTGCAATTGAGGCAGAGCAGATTGCCTCATCAGTTCTGTCTCACCCATCCTTGATCGTTTTTATTTAGAACCTCGTTTGTCGTAAAAAAATGGGTTTAATTTAAAATTCAATGTGAGGATACTGAAAAGTATACACATATAGGTACTGAATACCGATCAAATACAGTACTATAATCTTCGTAGTATGGATATAATATGTGTTTAATATAAAAATGCTGCAAAAGTTTTAATTAATTTTTTGTTTGTTTTGTAAATGGATTAAACATTGTGTTCTGTAGGAGTATCAGTGAATTGCATATATATATTATATAGGTATGTACATTTTTAATCGAGCTAAAGCTTCAGGTATTACGTGTAAGTAAATTTCACAAAGCTGTTTGAACGCATTTCGTGCGTGAAATAACAAATTTGAAAATGTTCTAAATAAAAATAAATATCGTCTGCAATCCATGGATTATCTTTATATATTGTTTAATAAAGCGTTGTTAGAAATGACCTCATTGCGTTTCTGAATAACAGCTGTAAATTTATGACGATGAGTGTATAAGAAAAAATAATTATTACACTTAAAGGTGATGTATCGTGAATTAAATATTGTATAATATACCCGTTCAAGTGTCTGATAATATACAGAAAGCTCTTATATTATATTTTTCTATGAATGCACGAGATGTGCTATGTACGAGACACGAGTTCATTCTAAAACACATGTCTATTGCTACCTACTGACCTATTCATAAAATCGGTGCTATGGTGTGTTACACATTTATAAATACAAAACTGTAAAAATAATTTATGATATGTTATACTATATTGTATATTTCTAGCAAAAACAAAATGTGTTTATCCGTTTTTGAGTTTAAACAAAACAAATAATTTAATATTAAGTTTTGTTATTTTTATTTAAAATAACATAAAAGCTATTTAGAATTTAATAATGACATTTGTTTTAAATTAAAATATGTTATAACGTAGTTAAAGATTACATTTTTTTGAAATTTGTTATCTAAATACAATAACTGATTTCAGTTTATTGACAATATTGTGTAAAGACCTGCGAGTGTAATTCACCTACTTACCTACTTAATTCTTAATAGTATAGACTATAGGATATAATATATTATTATGATGGATTTTATAAAACATGTATTATATTTGATTATGCTTTTGAGTGTGTCGAGTACAAATTAGTCTCTCGAGATCATTGTCTTACTGTAGATTTGTATAGTACCATATATTGCGTTGTATTTAATTACCAAATACTATATTATTTCATACAATTTATCTTTATTTAATCCTGTACAACTTATATGAATTATGATTGCGTATTTTAGTTGGATTAATAAAATGCTATTGTTATGTTTTCTTCCTTCTATATTTCTTATGACATAATAATACAATATTGACCATAGTTAGTCGTATTCATGTATATTCATTTTATGGAATTACATTAATTACCTATTTACCTACATTATAAAATAATGAGTTATTAATAATTGTCCAACTAACAACAATATTTAATTTGAATTTGAATTGCTAAATATATATATTTAAATTGGTCGTCTTAGTATAATACTTGGACACGAAAAAAATCAAGAATTTTTACTCAAAACCAGATTTTTAATTCAAAAATGACAAATTTACGAAATTATTTATGTTTTTATAAATAAATTATATTTTATTTAATAAAAACTATAAATGAAAATTTATCTGTTCATAGATATTGGATTCTTTAACACGGATATATTTCCAGGCTCTATCGTGGAGCCTTCGCCGGGCAGAAGCCGCTCGTTGCCATCTCCCCCAATCCAATGGATATCATCATCCACCAGGAGGAAACATGGTAAGTGACAAATGTTGGTATTTTTATATCTATAAAGTCAATGATACATTCACTACTACAACAGGTAGTAATATTGGAGGTATTACGGTATAGGTATAAATGTATAATTATTAAATATATGTTTAATATATATTATTGGACTCGGAGCATCCTCCTGGCTCGTCAAGTGAGATCGTTTATATTTCTCCATATTCAGTATTAACCGATGCCAAATACGCCAATAAATGATAATAATAATTATGAAATCCAAAAATAGAAAAATAAGTTTAATACCTGAGGAAATAATGAATGCCAATGGGTATTAAACATAAATAAATACGAAAATACAGCTGACGGTGTGAACAAATGTTTAAAAAATAAATTAAAATATGTGACCTTTGCAATGTATTATAATTACAGCTATGCAGTATCCACTAACCTAACCTATACACAATATTATACAGAATACACACACATAATATATCATAATATAGTCATATACTCATATAGCTAATAATACCTAACAATATAATATTGTTATCGTGTGCACTGCTGTGTCCTACCTAGTGTGTATTATATTCGTGTGCATGTGTGTTTTTTTTCGTGCCGGCCAGATGATGCCAATGTCCGGAAAATGTACCAAAGCGCAGCAGCAGTCGGATAATAAAAAAAAGTTTTTAAAAAAACAACGCACAACACGATGCGATCGAACGCGCGCGTTTTGTAGCGGATCATTAATTAAATTCTATATATTGTTATTATTATTATTATAACTGCTCGCACGCACATCGCAGGCCAGTCACCACTACCTCCTCGCCCTAACCCATCCCATCATCGTGGTCTTTAATAATAGTATAATAATATAATAATGTAGTGCGGTCGGTGGTGGGGGGCACTTTGCCGTTCGTTCATTCATAAAAACGACAAGTGAAATGTATACGGTTTTTAGTGAATAATACAATACTGTTTTCCCGTTATCGTTTTTATTGTTTTCGGTGATGATCACCGTCATTGTTATTGATGACGATGACGAAGATTATGATTATTATTATATTGATAATGATGATGATGACTGCTGATTTGTGTGTCAGTGTGTGTTGTTATGGGGGAAAAATATGGAGAAATAATGGAAAACATTTGTTATCTATATAGTCCTTGGTCACGCCCGTAAATTTTTATTATCTACAATTAATGTAATAATAATATGTAGGTACAATAGTATTATAATATTTAGGTGTGCATTTGAAGCGCAATATTGTGGATCTGATTTCCGTGCCCGATGTTGTGATGATTCGTTAATATAATGCTGTACCTATAATATCATTAAACCGTTGCACAATACTCGCGGGATGAAATCAGAAAAAAAAAATAAAATGTATTTGGGTGTGTGTGTGTGTGTGTGTGTGTGTGTGTGTGTGTGTGTGTGTGTGTGTGTGTGTGTGAATATTGCATAGGTATTTTATATGGCATTTACGGTTTTTTAAAATTATGTATTCATCTATTTTTCTACATAACTATATAAATTTACAATTTTTTTATCTATTATCTTTATAAGGCACAAGGTTTTTTAATGCACGCATTTATATACACACGTTTATAGATATTGGTATATTGATTTGTTTTTGCGAAACATGTTGTTTCCGCATAATATATAGAAAATGTCAAGTTTATAGAAAGAAATAATTAGATTCGTACATTAATAATTTAATTATTTTATTGTTTAGAATTTATATTTAGCATTTGTGAATTGTACATGACCAAATTATTTTGTCTCATTGGTAATACTATAAATTATCATTTCATTTCGTCATTTCTGCCTAAAATGCGTATAAATTCAAAATATAATCGTAAGCTCATTGTGATCAAGTCATGATTTATCATACATTTATCGTTTGTGTGTATAAAAACATATCAAAAATAAATATAATATTAGCTTGACTAAAGTTTTTAGCTTTTCAAAAACAAAGTATTGTAGAAATTATAATACTATTATCCTATTCATTAAGAATTATACTGTACAATTTACAACAGCTTAATTCTCTTTATGTGTAATGAATAAACGATAAGCTCCGATAACTTATTAGTTATTAGTTATTAATTTTTTTATGTATATACCTACGACCTATCTAGTTGTGTAAAATCATCGTAAAAGACAATACTCAACTATACAAACAACTATTAGAAAATCAAACAAGGTTTTTTACATTAATAAAAACTCAATGAATAGTTCATATTATGAAAATCACATATTTCATGAAATCGATTTGAATAAACACATTTTAAACAGTTTTTTACTGGTGAAATAAGAAAATCACAAATTACAATTAATGTTTCAATGTCGTATTTTTTCCGTCTGGGTATTAAAATATATAATAAAAATGACAATACTATAGTAATACTATTATAATATGAACACCGATGACCGAATGAACAATATTCTTGTTTAGCCTTGTTAGCTGTTCATCGAATAAAATTATTAATAAAATATTTACATCCAAATCTTGATATTAACTACGTCTTTGAAAAATGTTTCTCACAATTGCTGGTAGTATATTAATTTAATTCGAATAATGTTTTATTTGTTCCTAAGTACGTTATAAATATTAAGGAAATTAAAAAAATATAACAGTTATTTTTTATTATTAAGTTTAAGTACAGTTATCGTATAATTTGTGAATTCATTTCGTGCTAGTAGTTAGTTACTGAATTCTAGGAACCACCAACACCAAGTTTATCTTGTTAATGTACTTCTCAGATGTAATAATGACTTCAGAATTAAAATCAAACACACTGGCTGGAAGAATGGTATATTCTATAGAATATTAGTACCATAGATTATATAAGATCATATTTTAATCACTAACCTGGACACTAGATGTTTACCTTCATTTTTTATGCTATCGGAATATAAACATATTATTATACACATACAAAGGGCAGAAAATTATTGTAGCAACTAGCGAAAAAACTGATTTTACCTAAACTATGATAATATTAAGACCAGAGTTATAGGTACTAAATGTTAAATGTACTATAGTATTATGATTTTGGCACTGTGAACACGAAGGCTACCATAGTACCATTTGGCGCTTTCTCCCTCTTATAAATAAAAATATTACATTTTTGTTTCTAATAAAAGAGCATTGGAAATATTACATTATAAGATTATTAAGAATTATAATATCAACCTCTAAAGATATTTCGGATTTAGCACTCGGAATAATCGCCAACAGCAGTGTTTCTATTTTCTATACCTACGGATTTTTATTGTCAAATCATGAGTCATAATGTCGTCTAAGATATTTTGAGCTATAGAACATGAGTAAAAATATTGACAGTGATTTATCAAAAAAAAAAACTTAGATTCTTTTCAGCATATTATAATCTTTAAAACTCAATTGAGGTCGAAATGTCGATTTATGCCTAAAAAATGGATACAGTAGGTACCTATTTGATTGGACAACCATTTAATCGTTTTGTCATTATACGTCATTGTATGTGTACTTAAATATTATATAAAGTTGTGAGTTGTATTTGTCGGTATAATAATTACGAAACGCAATAAATATCTCTCAATAGATAAATATATAATTAATGTACACGATATTTGAATATTTTGTATACATTGATGTACCTATGGGCATATTATATCTTATACCCATACAGTTATAACTTACACTGCCTATCATGTTGAGCTAACGTCGAGTAGATTTTTATTATTAATTTTTTAACTCGTATTTGATGCCTACAATCGCCGAGTGCGGACTGGTTAGAAATTTTTTTAGGAAAATAAATTATAATAGTGGTAAGCGCGGTATGCCGGTATAGTGTAGAAGATTGATAAAACGTGTGATAGTCAGCGGCGGGTTTTTTTAGCATATGTACCGTCCACGAGGTATAAGCAGCAGACACAGACGCCAAAGCGCGCGTGCGAAGATCTTGCGGAGTATTCGTTGCGGGTAACCCTTTTCCGTCCGACCATCCGGCCGCATACGTTCTCGTGTTTTAACGTGTGTTACAAAAACACATACGCGTCCGCCCGCCGCCACCGCGCGCCACTACCGCCGCCGCCGCCGTTCACTGCCTAGCTAGTTCGACTTCGGAATCGGTTCAGTTTGTTACCGACGGTTAGACGCTGAACACTGATTCTGGTGTTATGTACTTAAACACGCAGCTCTCTCTGAATCTTTTTCTCTATTCTTTAATCTCTTTTACATCGCCATTTCCGACGGTCGTTAATATTATTTATTTTTTTAAAATCTACATTTTACAGTGTTGTTTATCGTTTCGTATTCAATACCGCGGTTGTCTCCTATGTGCGACGACGTTAAACGCGATCCAAGACCGTCCGTTTCGAACCGTTCTAACGACACCGGGCTCTTATTAGATTATAATTTGTAAATATAATATTATATAATAGGATATTAATATCGAAAAAATAAATAATTAGACATAACACAACAGAGATATTCACAAAAAAAAAAAAACAATCGTTTAAGTCACGGACATTTTATGATTGGTTTTATAGAACCATGCACACATTCCGGTTGCCGGAGTTCCTGAAATGCGTCAAGAATTATTTGAACAAAAAAGGTAAATACCGTATAATGTCCGTCCACTAAGCTATACGGGTCCCAGCTCGGTAAAATGCCAAAACGACGCGCTTACAATAAATTATTACATAGTATGTGGGTACTTCGTGCCCACTGCCCTCACATGATAGTGATAATAGTGTTGTGTATTGTTATATACCTATTATTTCATCGATAGTAGGTTCGTCGGTAGCAAGTTTATACACGAATTACGAATAGGTGGTAAATGGTAATTACTAATTATTATTGTCATCATCGATATCCGTCGCATCGATGCGTTCGTTTCGAAGATTTGTAAGCATACGTCCCCTTATATGGCCACTCGAAAAATCTCTCTTCATATTATTGTTACGAAGCCCAGGCGGCGTCCGTCCGTCCGTCGGTCGGTAAATTATTTTCGTCGTCGTATTATGGACTCGTATTGTATAC